CACGGCTCCTCCAGGGACCCAGTTCGTCCTGCAGGTGGGTGGGGAGCTGCGGGCTTCTCTCCTGGGAACTCTGGAAATGAGGACCCTCCGAGACGGAGGAGCTACAAGCTCTTCCCCTGGGGGTGCTAGAGGCGGGGTACGCCCCGGGACGGAGAGCTGCGATCTCTCCTGGAGGAGCTGGAGACAGGGTTCACCTCGGGATGGGAACTGCGGGTTCCTCTACTCAGGCTCCTCCCACCGGTAGGAAGGATGCTGCGGTTTTCTTCCTGCCGTAACCACTGGAGACGCAGCTCTCTCCCTGGGCGGCTTCCGCTCTGTTGAGGCAGGCTGGAAGCTTATTCGCCTGCTCCCCGGCACCCACACCCCTCTGTTCCTCCTTTCCCCACGACTTCCCGCGGGCTTGCCAACTCCCAGAGTCTGGGAGAGAGTGGACTAGTACCAAGAAAAGGCAAGCGCTCAGATGCTAGTGGTCTTGACATGGTTCAGGCCAAGACAGACGTTTCTGGTCCTCTGCACTCTTCTGCGAGGTTTTGGTTTTGTGAGAAAAAGCCTCACAGTATAATGCAGGCTGGTTTGGAACTCACTGTGGCACCCTGGTTACCCTTGAACTCCTGGGTGACCCTCCGGTATTAGACTTTAAAGTGCTGGGATTTTAAACGCAGTTAGCACGACCGGTCTGAAAAGCTTTTAAAGAGTGAAGTTAGTTTTTAACTTTATATTATTTTAATAGTGTTTGAATTTTTACTATGTGCTTTAAAAAAACTTTTTTCTATTGTGTATTGAAAATTTTATTTGGAAGAATAAAGATGGCAGCGGGTTGTTCAACGATAGTTAGGACTTAAAGAAGAGTGGGGCCAGCACTTTCCAGGAAGTTAGCGGACCTTTGGCGAACTCCGAGCAGGCCTACAGGAGGTGGCTAGGGTGTCAGTCCCTGGACCTTGCAACTGAGGGCCCCAGGAGGACCTGGCCAGCACAGGGAAGACAGCCCTGCCTCAAGGAGTAGCTCAGCTAGTCTTTCACCATAGCTCCTGCTGCAGGTCAGAGAGCAGAAGTAAGGAGAGGAGGCCTCTGACATCCGGAGGGCAAAGGTCCCTTAGGGGCAGAAGGTGAGCTTGAGGGTGCAGCATTTTAAAGAGGGGGGGCTCCCTATTGCATACTGGAGTACGCTTTCCCACTTTCTGCAGTTGGCCTCTTCGGAGAATCAACATCTGCTACAGGATTCAGTGCACTCCGGTGGCAGCTTCCAGAGGGCGACATGCACGCATGCGGGACACACACACACACACCACATTTTGTAGACAGGCTGTGTTGGATAGAAGCCATAGCCCAAATCCCGGGAGCCTTATCTGGTGGAATCAAAGCTGTGCACCTAAGAGGTCTCTTCTGAGACCGAGGGATGCTACAGCTGAGAAAGTGAACCGTTCACAATTTGCTGCTGTCACTTAAAATCGCCATTTTAGTTTACTGAGCACACACTGTGTGTGTAAGACACCTTGGAAAATCTTTACGTAGACTGCCTCGTTGTTAGCTGTGGGAAAACAAGCCAGCCACAATACCTAAATCTAGCGTTTAAATGGGACATCTATGCCACAGCGTTACAGACATAAAGCCGTATTTCGCAAACTCTGATATGTGTATGGGTCAGTTGGAAACGTTTAAGTGTTGATTAATCTTTGTTGTAAAACATGATTGCAAATATGTAAAAAATATTTTGATAAAGCTGTCAATGTCTAGCCTTCAGTGGTGCTCAATAAGCAGTAATGTTTTTGAGGAGAAAAGTTGGGTTGGGGTTGACCTCGGATTTAACAGCTGGAAAACTAGCTAGAACGGACATGGAAAGGGAGATGAGAATGCCTGCGCCCCACGTGGTGAATTCATGAACTACAATCGCAGTGCTTCCTTGTTCTCCAGGCCTGGGGAGGGGAGGAATTGAGTAAATGCAGTCTTTCTCCCACCACTGTGGCCATAAGGAAGTTCTCTGGATGGCAACATTAAAGCATTTGGACCATCAGATGGTCCCTGAGACCCCTATAATCTAACTTTCCTTTTTCATAGCTAGTCTTCAACTCTCCCAGGCTGGCTGTTGGACACTCATTCTTAGTAACTGAACCCCTGTAACCCCACTGAACTCTCATAGGCTTGTACCTCCAAAAAGGGATGTAGGGATTGGCAGAAATTATCCAACCTTCATTTAAGATAACTAAGGTTTTCTTCGGGCTCCATTTGTCCCACCAAGTGTTAGGGCACCCTAGACAGATGTGATGGTTAATCTGACAGACAGCCTTCCAACCTCAGACTATACCAGAGACGAAGAACTCAGACTGGTCTTGAACGTGTGAGCCTCCTGCCTCCACCTTGTGAGTGCCGGGGTATCAGGTTTATTCCACACCTGGTTTATGCAGTGCTGAGGGTCGAACCCAGGACTTCACACATGCTAGGTAAGCATTTTACTAATGAAGGTAAAGCCCCAGACTAAACCTTTCTCCTTTATGTCAGTTGTCTCAAGGTTAATTATGGCAAGGGAAAGATGACAAACACACTCAGTACGCCAAGCATTGTGGACAGGGGTTCCTCCTAATAATTCTTCAGCCCCATTTGGTGCATATTCAGTGATAAGAAACTTGTGGCCATTGTCATCAACCCAACCACACCCGGTCACAGCTAAGCTGTCTCAGAAGCTGGGGCCAATGTATATCCAATGGACTTAACCTGGCTCCCAGAAGGTTTTATCAGTCAGAAATGTGACCATAAAGCCATGTGATTTGTTAGTAGGCTTGCCCTTTGAGAAAGTGACTTGTCCTAATGACATCATTTTGTACCCTCTCCCTCGCTTCTCCCCCCTCCCTAACATGTACTAACAATTTGGACATGCATCTTTGTTGTCGATGATGATTGAGACAATGTTCACCACCAGGCCCGTCTGCATCTTTTATAGTCTCTTGGATACAGCAACTCAGGCTTCCTTAAGGATTGCAACAAGTCTGGTGATCAAAGAGGCCAAGTTACCTTAACTGGAGAGAGGTCCAGTCATGACTGTATGCAGAAAGAGGCGTCTACTGAGACAATGTACAATTTTGTTCTGAAATACATTTCTAAAGAGACGTGATGTATGCAGGGTGGTGGTGGCACACTCCTTTAATCCCCGCACTTGGGAGGCAGAGACAGGCAGGTCTTGAGTTCGAGGCCAACCTGGTCTACAAAGCAAGTTCCAGGACAGGCTCCAAAGCTACGGAGAAACCCTGTCTCAAAAAAACCAAACCAGCCGGGCGATGGTGGCGCACACCTTTAATCCCAGCACTCGGGAGGCAGAGGCAGGCGGATCTCTGAGTTCGAGACCAGCCTGGTCTACAGAGCTAGTTCCAGGACAGGCTCCAAAGCCACAGAGAAACCCCGTCTCGAAAAACCAAAAAAATAAAATAAATAAATAAATAAAATAAACCCAAACCAAACCAAGCAATGTGAATGTTTTAAACAAAAATGCCCTAACAAGACCCATGGAATCTCTTTGGCCGACAATTTGGGATCTCTCTTCTTACTAGGACTCACCTTACCTGATTGACAGAAACTCTCAGTTTGATGGGTTTGGCTATTCTTTTAAGAGTTGGTGGGCTGGAGAGATGGCTCAAAGGTTAAGAGCACTGGCTGTTCTTCCAGAGGTCCTGAGTTCAATTCCCAGAAACCACATGGTGGCTCACAACCATCTATGAGATCTAGTGCCCTCTTCTGGTGGGCAGGTATACATGCAGACAGAATATTGTATACATAATAAATAAATAAATTTAAAAAAAAATCACCAAAAAATTTTATTAAAAAAAAAGAGTTGGTAAGTTTTTCTTGGGCCAGTAGGATTTGGTCACTTGAGCCAGGCTGTGGTGGTGCACACCTTTCGTCCCAGCACTCGGAGGTAGAGGCAGGTGGATCTCTGTGAGTTCGAGGTCAGCCTAATCTAGTGAGTTCCAGGACAGCGAGAGCAACACAGAGAAACCTTGTCTTGTCTTAGAAAAGCAAAAAAAAAAAAAAAAAAAAAAAAAAAACACCAGGGTAGGGAACCCTAACTGCTCTTTGGACTGGAGACGGAGGGGGAGAGGAGTGGGGGGAGGGGGAGGGAAATGGGAGGCTGGGAGGAGGCAAAAAAAATTAAAAAAAAATAAAATATAGGAAAAATAACAGGTCATGAGCACAGCACTTGCCACACAAGCCTGACGACCTGAGTTTGAACCCTGGACACATAGAGGTGAAAAAGAGAGAAGTAACTCCCAAACGATGTTGTGACCTCCACTGGGGTGCTGTGGCGTGTGTGCCCCTGTGCCTGCCCCTTCATACAATCAACTAGATAATTTTGAAAATACTTTAAAATATTTTCCGGTTTTACATAGAATAGTGTGTGTGTGTTATTACTACTAGAAAATAACCGGAATGCCATGAGATCTGAGGCCCTAGATGCCTGGCAGATGTGGCATAAGCAGGTCCTGAAGGTGGGTGATATGTAAGCCCAGCCATGCTGCAGGGACCAAATGACACATGGTTGCTCGACACGTGGTCTTAGGGTCAATGATTGCTCCGCGCTCCTCGTATTTCTGAGGTGAAGCAGATCGGCAGGTGTGACCTGAGGATAAAGGAGACAACTCCCTTTGTCTCACTGGGATATTTGTCCCTTGGGGGCCACTCAGGATGTGTCCTGCATCGGGAGACAGGAGAGACCGAGGACCATTCAGTTAAAGGAATCACAGGCACTAAGGCAAATGCTCTAAAATGTCCCCACTCACAGGGGATAGCTATGTGAGAAGCTGAGGACAGGAACTTCCGTTCCGGCTGCTCCCGCCCTCTCCAGGAAGCTGAACCTGTCCTGAGATCTTCCACTTCCATTCCCTCAGCCGCCTCTGCCACTAACTCCAACGTGCCAAAGCCGTGAAGGGGGAACTGGGTAGAGACAGTCCCTGTCCTTTGGTCTACTAAAAAGGGCGTGAGCCTCAGGACTTCTAGAAAAGAATTCTGAGGGAAAGAGGAATACAGATAAATTTATTAGTTAAATACTGATTTTACAGCCATTTCACCTTAAGACAATGTTAACAGGTTGCGGAGGGGGAGGCAGCCTTCGGGGAGCAAACGGTGTAAAGGAGGATTACAACAATCTTGGTTCAAAGCTATTCTCTGCTACGGCCAGTAACGTTTCGGGGTGGGGGCTGGGAGTTTGGGGTACAATGGATCATGCCATAGTTGGCTACAGCTCTGTGGGTGATGAGGACGAGGAAGGATCTTTGGGGGCCCCAGGAATGGGGGAGGGGAAGAAGGCCAATTCTAGGAGAGCTACAAGCATGGCAATCCCATCTGGCCCTGAGATGGCTTCCATCCATCTTCCATCTGTCACCTTTGTCCTTCTGCAAATCTCCTTCGGTTGTTCCTGCTTTGAATTTGTCTTGCAAACGCTCTGGGTTTCTTAGACAAAGGACCCGGGCTGGAGAAAGGCCCAGATCCAGGTGACTATTTGACTTGAGAAAGGCCATGGCCTGGCAGGCTCAGAGCAAGCTCAGAGCAAGCAAGCTGGAGCCCTGGGAACAGGGTTGTGCTGTAGACACAACCTCCAGAGGGATCCAAGGGGCAGATGAGTGTAGTCACCAAGCTGCTTCCGTAGCAGGTTTTGTTCCTCTGTGGAACCCCTGTGTGTGAAGGGGTTGAAAAAGGATGCTAGGCGCAGCACCCCATGGCCCTAGCCTGCTACACAACTGAGCTCTAGTTCTGCAGAGGATAGGAGATGTTCAGGCTGGAGAGCAAGGGTTTAATGCCGGAGTTCCTGGGAGAGGGGGAAGGGAAGGCTCGACAGCTGGACTGGGATCTGACGCATACCCTGTGTGATGGGTGATGTGCCTTCGCCACCACCGTCTGCCCCAGGGAACATTCAGTAACATCTGCACTGCACCCACGCTTCTGGAGTCAGATCTGGTATGGGGCATGCAGGGATATGCCATGCCTCAAGGGGAGTGTTGGACAAGGGCAGGGCTGCCACGTCCAGTCCACATCAAGTAGACACCCTGCACAGGCTGGAGACAGTGTCTTGAAGCCTGGAACCCTACAGCCACCTGAGGAGCACAAAGGAAAAAAACCCCACTACCTAGAACCACTGGGGTGGAGAGTTGGGGTGAAGGAGATTAGGTCTCTGTCCTGGACAAGCAGGTGGAGAAAGAGAAAGAGATCTCCTGCTCCAGGGAAGAGCCTCATTGGGCCATGCTCATGCGAAGGTGGGCATGTCTCTAAGGTCGCAGGCTCTTCCCAGGGCTCCACCTGAAAAAGGTGTTTGAAGAAACCCAGCACCCACATCCCTAAGCGATTGTCAACAACTTCAAGTTCTACCCAGTTGTTCTTCGGGAGTTGTTCCCAGACGAAGGGGCTGGCCAGGATGCCCCAGCCTCAGACTTTGCTGGCCCCCAGGTCCCAAGTCCGAGCAGGAATTTGAAGAGGGAGAGGGGATGATTACGCGGTAATTATGTCCCCGTGACTGTCAGCCAGGACCAGGCTGTTCCAAGAGTCCTGCTTGGAGCTGGCCTGTGATGTCTGAGTGACCGGAGATGCATAGCCTTGTGGGGAGAGCTTCAGAGCAGACAGCACTGGATGGATGGAGGGCCCATGGCCGGACACAGTACTGACAGAGAACGCCTGGAAGGCAGAAAGCAGAGTGAGCCAGTAGGAGGCCCCTGGGGGCCCAAGGACCAGATCTGGGGAAAGGGTGAGGGAGTAAGCACTCAGCTGCTTCTCTAGAGCCTAGGGCCAGGGCCCAGCTGCAGGGGTCTGTGTGCTTCCCCAGGGCTCCCGAGAACAGTATAATTAGGGCCATAACCCAGGAGTTTTGGGCAGCTGTGCTTTCTCAGAAGGCTCTGACAGCCACAGGAGACACTCTTATCACCACTTCCGGGTCAGATAGAGGTCTTTCCTGGTCAGATTGAGGTCGTCCTCTCCATCCTGAAGGGGTCCTAGCACTTTTGTTTCTGTGGAACCAGGTTCTCTCTGGTTCATTCTGAGGGTAGAATGCTCAGACAGCCACACACACTTAGAGGTAGTGGGGCTGGAAAAGGGAAACTGTGACTTCCTCATCCCCAAAGAGGCAGACGAACTGGGCACCATCATACCTTCAAGAGGGCATGGTCCCCTGCTGAGCCATTGTGGAGGCTCTCAGGAAGCTGGGACTTAAGAAGATAGTTTTCTGCCTACCTCTCACCCAAGCCTGAACCATGCTAACAGGGTCCTCCTGCCTTCCCTGAAAAGCCTTCAAGGCCAAGGTCAAAGCACTTCCAACTCTAGAGTCCAAGTTTGCTTCCAACCACAACACCCAAGTCTGATTCAGGGGGTAGTTGGTGCTTTTTGTCACATGTACCCTGGGTGCAGTCCCTGCGTCCTTCTCCTTGTTCTCACAGGTCACAGCACAGGGAGCTGCTAAATATGTGGCATTCTTTGTGTCCGAATCACCGCAGCTGGACAAGAGGCTGGGCTATTTGGAGCTGGGCGGCTCAGGGGCAGCCTACAGCTCACCTCCCAGGACTGGGCAGGCCACCAGGGATCCGGAATCTACTTTCTTATTAGCCTCGTCACCACACCCACCTGGGATATGGAGGTGCTGTGTCCATAGTGAGAGGACAGCCCAGGCTCTGTCTTGATGGGGCGCATCTCGTCACTGCTGCTGCTGCTGGTGGTGGTGGCGTTGCTGGAGTTGCTGGAGGCGCTGCTGGTGGGCGGGAGGCTCTCACCAGATGGACCTGCAAGGAGGCAGAGTCAGGAAACTCAGTCCAGCTGCAGGGACGAAGGCCCTAGTTACATTGGCTGGAAAGAAAAGTAGGTGTCCTTCCGGTGAGGAACAGCGGTTCTCTGATGGACCAACAGCAGCATCCAAACTCCAAGGAGACTATTTCACGTTCTTAAAACAGTGTCTGCTGTAGTCCAGGCTAGTCTCAAACTCACTATGTAGTTGAACTGGTATTCCTGCCTCCACCTCCTGAGTGCTGGGATGACAGGCCACCACGCCCAGTGTATGGAATGCTGGAGGTTGAAGCCAGGGCTTCCTGCCTGCTAAGTACTCACTGAGCTACACCCCGAGCCCTAAGGGAACTTTTGCAAAAGACTCAGTGATTCCCTCCTGACCCTAGATCCATAAGCCCAGGAGACCACATTCTGTTTTGGGGATTCCACGCTCTCAGCGTAGTTTTTCAACGTAATTACTATGTATTTCAGGAGACTGCCAGAGGGTTCTGGGACAGCAACCTCTAATTAACTATATTAATTTCTCCGTAGCAAAATGTGAACACTGCTGGGGGGGTTGGGGGGAAGTGGCGGTGACGAATGGTCTGTGCCGCTCCAGAACAGGTCCTGCTACAGAATTTATGGTCCTGAATTCTGACTTAGAGTTGAGGACTCCACCTGAGCCCAGAGGCTCTGCTGTGCTCCTAGTCCAGGAGGCGGAGAGAGGCAGGTACGACCCGTGAGGAGTGGCAGAGGGTTCAGGTGGAGATACTTCTTCCCCAAGTCCCTGTTTAATGTAGGAACCTAGAATGCCGGCCATGGCTTTTTGTGGGTCTGCCTGCCTGGGGTAAGAAGGTGAGCTGTCCACCACATCAGCCAGTTCATTCCCTCTGCTGAAGCCAATCAAATCCTAATTTGGCAGCAGGGAGCACAGAAGGCTCTGGGTAGGAGACATTAGTGACACTCCCCCCCTCCCCCCGTCTCTCTTGTGTGCCATTTATTTTATTTTATGCGCATTGGTGTTTCGCCTGCATGTCTGTCTGTGTGAGAGCATCAGAAGCCCTGGAACTGGAGTTACAGACAGGTGTGAGCCCCATGTGGATGCCAGGAATTAAATCTGGGTCCTCTGGAAGAGTAGCCAGTGCTCTTAATGGCTGAGCCATCTCCCCATCCCTGTAACCCTCTTCTTAACTAGAGATTAAGAAGGCATTGCCATTAAGTGGGCGGCTCATGCCTATATAATCCTACAGTTTAGGAGGCTGAGGAGGAGGGTCATGAGGTCAAGGTTACTCTGAGCCATGTAGAAACTCTGAAGACAGAGCAACATATTGAACAGACTGTTGATCCCAGAGTGAACATTCCAAATCCCAGCCAATACCAATGTGATTTTAAGCCATTTACCCTCGAGCCCCAGTTTGCTTATTAGGAAGACAGGCTAACAGTCTGCTTCTGTCAGGTCTTAAGGGGATCCCTGCAGGAACTTGTGCAGGTTCAGAGCTCTACGTGACATTAATGTACCCCCAATTACAGATCCATCTGTCAGGAGCATGCCTAACGAGAACTTTGTCTGCTTTAATTGCAGCATCAAAGACAGGACCAATGAACATCACTCTCTCAGGCCGCACACTGGTCCAGCCAGTCTGTTGCAAGGAGTCTATTGCAAGGGCAATCATCCTGCGGCTTCATGGGCCTGGCTTCTTTTCTGTCCTGAGGGAAGAGGATGGAGGAGGCGGTTACCACCATCCTCTGGCAGCCTACCGAGGCAGACATGGTTCTCAAATGCTCTGGGAACTCCTGACTTGCTCACATGCCTGCGCACGGATCTGTTCCTTACCTGCTGTTGTCTTAGATTTATTCAGGTTCTTGGGTTTTCGTTTTCTGGTTTGAATCCCCTCCTTCCGCATTGCAAGAGGCCTGGGTACCTGAAGGGTTGGAAGTTAATATGTTTAATATATCAATTTCCCTTTGTAGATGTCTGCTATGGTCTTGAAACACACTCTCTCTCTCTCTCTCTCTCTCTCTCTCACACACACACACACACACACACACAAAATTAAATGAAGGTTTGCACTATGGTATTGAAACACACTCTCTCTCTCTCTCTCTCTCTCTCTCTCACACACACACACACACACACACAATTAAATGAAGGTTTGCACTATGGTATTGAAACTCTTTCTCTTACACACACATACACACACATTAAATGAAGGTTTGTGCTGTGGTATCACACACACTTTCTCTCTCACACACACATTAAGTGAAGGTTTGTAAAAGAAGAAGCATGTAGATTCTATTCTTGAGGAAAAACAAGTGAGACCTGTAGAACAGAAATGGAGGAGGCTCCTGTCAGGCAGAGCTGAGGGCATGAGGGGGCATAGGTAGGGCATAGGCCTGGCAGGGCAGGGCAGGGCATTGACTCACCCCATGGAGCTTCATGTAGAGGCCACAGGCATTGCACACAGGCTCTCCCTCGGCATTGCGGCGCCACAGCGTGGTGGTGGTGGTCTGGCAGTTGGCACAGGAGAGGCCTACCCGGCGGGAAGCAGACTACAACATAGATCAGGGTATGGTATGAATGACCTGTCAACAGAGCATGTCTTCCCCAGCGTGGAGCTCATGGATGCCAGTGTCTGATTATGTTTGGGGCGAGGAACTTGATGGGTCTCAAAGAGGAAGCTTCAGGGTCTCTCTCTCTAGTCCCCTTCCCTGGATACACCAAAGTGGGTTGGTATTGATCAGAGTCAGGTGGGAAGAAGAAGAAGAGGAGGAGGGGGGAAGGAGGAGAAGGAGGGGGGAAGAAAGAGGAGGAGAAGGAGGGGGAGGAGGAGAAGAAGAGGAGGGGGAGGAGAAGGACGAAAGAGGAGGAGGAGAAGGAGGAGAAGAAGAGGAGGAGGAGGAGAAGGGGAAGAAGAAAAAGAGGAGGAGGAGGAGGAGGAGGAGGAGGAGGAGGAGGAGGAGGAGAAGGAGGAGGAGGAGACACAGGCAGCAAACACCTGCTCCCATTCCAGGCCTCCCTAGCCAGAATCCACACCCACTGCTTTGCCTTCTTGGAATCCTGGTCTTTCTTGGGGATCAACTGAAAATAAGACGACTTCTGGTTTATGTTGGCCTTCAGGACAAAGGGACTGATCTGGCTGGATCTGGCCTGGATCTGGCTCCCTGTGGCTGGTGCTGCTCACCTCGCTGAGCTGAGTTTTCTACTATTGCCTGAGAGGGGTGATGAGGGTGGACTAGCTGGGCCAGCATCTTCGAAGCAAGCCCAAGCTCACTCTAAAGGTGTGAGAAGCTCCCTCCTTCTCCCACCTACCTAACCCCTCAGCTCATATCCTCCAATTCCAAAATGTAAAGCTGGGCAAGAGTCTCAAAGTCTGGTGCAGGGAAGACGGGCGAAGCTGGCTGCTCTCCAGGCAACTGTCCCTAAGCCATAGGGGTGCTTGCTTACCAGCCGACGCTGAGGCTTAATGAGGGGTCGGTTGATGCCGTTCATCTTGTGGTAGAGGCCACAGGCATTGCACAGGTAGTGTCCTGTCCCATCTCTCCTCCAGAGCGGGGTGGACATGGCCCCACAGTTGACACACTCTCTGCCTTCCGAGAAGTCATCAAACATATCTACTGGGGGAGGACACAGGAGAAAGGGAACACAAATGATGACTTTTGTTTTGCTCGGAGACCTTTCACCCGGAACGCAGGGCTCAAGGTCTCTCCAGAAGATTCCTTCTTCCTCGGTCAGGACTGCAAGGCAAGTGGGTGCCACTGTTTGCCACCCAGACGCAGCAGAGCTGCCTGAGGAAGTCATCAGATCCCTAGGTGATAGGGGACACTTCTGAGTCCAGATCTTGCCACTACAGTCTTCACTGTACCACCTAACCTGCTCAGACCTTTCTCTCCGTTTTACTTCCCAAAATTATGACCAGGTGACGGTTTGAACACGAAATGTCCCCACAGGCTTATGTTTTGCACACCTGTTCCCAGCACGTGGTACTATTTGGTGGGGGGGGGGCTGTGGAACCCAGTTAGGAGGTGGGGCCTGCCTGGCAGAAGCCAATCGCTCAAGGTTATAATTCCAGGCCCCTTGTTCTATTCCTGTTCTCACTGCCTTCTGGTCTCCTGCACTCCGAGAAACCTCCACAGTATTCTGCCATCCCATCCATTCTGACACGCCCCCCTCACCACAGTAGACCAAATCCCTATGAAATCATGAGCTAAAATCAATCTGTCTTCTGTTAAACAATTTCTCTGGGTATTACAGTCATAATAATTGCAAAAGTTAAGTCATACAGATTATTTTTCCTTTTGGATCAATATATTTACATTGTGGGAGAATTAGTATTGAAACATGTAAGGAAAGCACGGGTCAGTATTTTGTGAGCTTGTTATTTTATTCTATCATTTGTAAGACTTTCTATGTTGACACATACTTTTGCTTAGTTGAGGTCAAGAGATACGGCCTAGCCTATCTTGCTTTGTTCTGTTTGCTTAATGCCCTAATGTGTTACCACATTAGAAATGTATTATAAACTCATTTCAGCATGGTGTAATATTAGCCCATCATTGAAATGTGCCCCCACCCCGACGTCTGCTCTTCAGTAACTGCTTAATCTCTGTCTAGTTTCTGATATTTGTTCTGTAAACACGGGTCTCTTTGTACATACATCTCTGATGAGTTCTAGTTCCGACTCCGACTCCTATCCTAGAAGGAGAGTTTCGAGGTCACGGAGACTAGGGTTCTATTTACACTCTTAACTTTATCGTTCACTTAGCTTACCTCCTGTGACGGTTAGCTGGAATTGCCCACTTGACACCTCACAGCTATTATCAACGAGAATTACCTCAGGAAAGAGTCTCTACAAGGAATGGCCTCCATGGGCCTTGCTGTGAGCATGTGTGTTGTCTGAATTAAGTTCATTGATATGGAAAGACCCTGTCTAGTGTAGGCAGCACTATTCCCTAGGCAAGGATTCTTGAACTGTTCAAGAGTAGAAAAGGAGCATAAGAAAGAAAGCAAGCATGCATGCAAGTATGCATGCACCTTCTCTCTGCTCTTGACTGTGAACGTGGTGTGGACAGTTGTCTCAGGCTTCTGCTGCTGTGACTTCCTACAGTGATGGACCTGGACTTGTCACCTAAAATAATCTCTCTCTCTCTCTCTCTCTCTCTCTCTCTCTCTCTCTTTCTTTTGGCCAGAGTATTTTTATCAGTAACTGAAATGAAACCAGGACAGTACTTTTAACGTATATGCGTGATCTTGTTTTTGTTCTTTTTCCTTGTATGTGGCACACACACTACAGACATCTTATAGAGTCCATCAAATCTGAGTGTCATTCCTCCACAAGAAGGCTGCCTTCATCTGTCACCCTTTCATTTGCCCTTTCATTGGTGAAACTCGTGTCCCTTCTCATTGCCCGAGTGAGAGAGGTAGGGTTGGCTTTCGCACTCCCTTTGACCTATATAAACCCTGCTTGGAAACTTCCAGAAGTCCCTCTGACTCATGCCATCTAAGTTTTCTGTCTCTAAGCATAGCCACCTTGGTCTCCTGATCGCCCTTGTCCTGATACCAAAGGCAACGCTGAGTTCTTCTCTGGGGAAGCCATCTGCACCCCTTCGAAGGCGGGATTAAAGGTCGGCTCCTCCTTCAGGCCCCAGCCCTGGGGTTTAAGGCTGTACATCTTGCCAGCTTCACTGTTCAGTAATCAACTCTAAGGGAATGTTGGCTGGAAGAGGGTAGGGTGCCCTCGGGCAGGGTGCCCTCCCCATAACTCTGGGCACGCAAACAGTCATTTACACCTGCAAAAGGTGGCGGCGAGTCCACCCAAGCAAACAATGTTACAGGTGTGAGGGGCTGTTTGCTCAGGCCAGGAGCTTAAGTAAAGCCAGCCCGGAGAGGCTGTTTTTACACCTGTGTCACACTGAAGGCCCTTCATCAAGGTCACCTGCCTCCAGAAGTGACTCTTGTCCGTGGCTTACTCTCTGCTGGGCCACCACCATCGGCACCAGCACCAGCACCAGCACCTTGTCGGCGGCCTGCCAGTCTTGCTCTTGCCTTTCCAGCCCTCTGAAAGCGGTAGAAAGACCAGGAATTCCCAGAGCCAACATCCAGCAGGGTTGAGAACAAGCTGTGGCAGCTCTTTGTTTGCCATAGGCACTAGAGGGCGCTACAACCTCAAAACTGAACCAAGACCACAGACTCTAGGTTAAATCGCTCCTTGGGAGAAAGGATTTTTTGCTCATTGTTTTAGCCCAGACCTACTGCAGTCCTTTGATTCTGTTTTACCTTGAAATGGGTTATAGTCCAAGGATGGCAGAGTATAAAATATGCTCCTATTTAACCATCAAGCGGCTTCCCGTGATCTGTCACCTCACCTGGACCTTTATCCATTTTAACCACCCTGTACTACAGAAGAAAACCCAAGATCCTTTCATTTCAGCTCAAAGTCTCAGTCTGTTCCTCCACAGGTAAAGATGCTCACACAGGTTTCTCTCTCTGGTAAAATCCCTTTGTGATTTGTTGTTGTTTTTGAGAGGGGAGGCCCCACTTTTCTTCTCACTGAGTACATTCCACGTGTGCATACACCATCGAGGGAATCAATAGCGCCCGTGGGTACATCCTCTCTGTCCCTCAGTCACCCCTCCCCGCTCTGAGGACTCAGCACAAAGGCTGACCTGGGAAACTCATGCAAGGACACCTCAGGTTATGCCTTCTAGCAACTGCTTTCCTACCCAGATAAAGTCGCCAGGCATTGGTAAATATGGATTTGACACCCACAAATATTTACCAAACACCTGTGAGGGAAGCAGGACAACAGATGCCGCAGGAGCGAAGAGGACGCCTTGCTCTCGGGCGCTAATGATCTAGTTTAACAGACCGGACCTGGGAATCGATAGTGGGCGATAAGATGAAGCATTCCGTTTTCAAACGCCCAACTGAGTGCGGGTTTATGGCAGATACCATTGGTCTCGGACAGGAAATGTGCAAGTCCAGCCCACATAGATCAGTCAGTGTAGCTCAGGAGCAGAAGGAGGGAATGGGGCAGGAAGCAAAGACCATGTTTCCTCAAGATGCCTAGCCAGGCACACCTGTTTACATATTCCACCACGAACTCTTACTACCTGACCAGTTTGATGAAATGTTATGTGGAATTTTTATTTCAAAAAAAGAGATTTACTTGATGCATATGAATATTTTGCCAACATGCATGCAGCTATGTATGTATATATGTGTACCGTGTGTGTGTGCTTGGTACCTGCAAAGGCGAGAGGGCATTAGAACCACTCCCCCCCAGGACTAGAGGTACTGGTGATTGTGAGCCACCATGTGGGTTCTGAGAACTGGACCCCAGTCCTCTGCAAGAGCAGCAAGTGCTTTTAGCCCCCGAGGCGTCTCTTGGAAACTGTAAGTGGCCAGTATGGAGGACCTAGGGCGGAAGAGCACAGGGCTGACTCTGGCTTGCAGACTGACAAAGGTGTCCTGGAGAGTGAGGGCGGCAAAGCCTAGAAGACAGGAGCTTCGACTGGACAGACTCTAGTGGGGACTTCTGTTTTCATGAAAGCACCGGTCTAGAAAATCATAGCTACTTATTTTAAAAATTCTGATTTAGAAAACAGAGAAATCTGATCCCCAAACAGAGAGGAGCATTTTATGTCTGTCTGACTTCCCTTGCTCCCCGTCCTCACCCCTGCCGGCCCCGTGCAGGGCCAGGGAGTGGAAAGAATGCATCCCATCTCAGTAGCTTAGCGCTTACTCCTGGGAAGAAGGGGTGCAGGACTGCCCAGTCCCCAGTCAGCACCTCTTACTCTTCCTCAGGAAAAGCACAGGGTGTAACTTTCCAGAGGCTGAGTTGAGGGCCCAGCCATGTGGCTCCAGCTGGCCGGTGACAGCCTGTCTCCCAATCCCACCCCTGTCCAGTACAGGCACTGGTCCACCCATTGGGGCGCAGTGGGAATCCAACCCTGGAGAGTGGGTCAGCATCTCTCCACTCTAAGAGGACAGTCTTGTAATAATAGCTGTAAAGTACTTTGCAAATGAGAGGAAAAACTCACAACAATGGCCGTGGAGTGCTCTGCAAACACCCAGTGAGATAAGGATGACCATGACTGATTATTGTTCTGAGGCTGGAGAAGAGGGGCTGAGGGAGGGAGAAGGACCAGGGACGGGGAGAAACTCAGGAGAGAAGACTTGGAAATCTAATGCCTTCTGGCATGGATGAGGCCAGACTCAGATCCATGGGGTTCCCAACTCAAGTTTGAGGCTGCAAGCTACAAACACCGGAAGTGAAAGTTCACACTCTCTGCCTAGGAATTCTCAGGAGCTGCTCAGGGGAAATGGAATATTTTCCTAATCCCAAAGACAGACACCTAACTCCCCACTACCATCCCATTTCCGACTTTAAACAACTCTCTTTTAAACAGGAATACATTGCTGTAGGACGGACAGTCCTAGAAATCATGGCACACCACACCTGTCCAAGTGCCAGGAAGGGAAAGGAGGCCCTGATTTCCCCCAAGGCTGATGCAATCAAAGGTAGGGACTACCTCTGACCTGCTCCATTCCTCCTATAGAGCACACCCACCTGGCTCTGCAAATGGGGGCTGGGAGAAGGACAGAAGGAGTGAAA